CACCACATATATATATATATATATATATATATATATATATATATATATATATATATCTTTTATACAAATATTTATTATTTAATAATTATTAGATAATGTGAAAGACCTTATACTCGAGTAGCTCATTGTCTGTCAGACATTTTGTTAAATATAGAATAAAACTATCAATTCAATTTTACTTTGAACGAGAGGCGTTAGTTATTCTCTTCTGATTTTTGAGTCACAGTAAAGTAAAATGGATCGGACAACCATTGTATTTTTTGAGAGTGAACAAAAGGGAAATTTTATTTTGGACTACATTCATTAACTATTCTTTTCCTTAAAAAAAAAAAAAAAAAAAAAAAAAAAAAAAAAAAAAAAAATTGGAATCCTCTATGAATCCATTCCAAATCCAATAACGACAAAGTTAAAATTCCATTTGCAGAAACATCTTTTTTCTTCCAAAACTTATTAAATTCTTTATGTTACTTTATTCCTGTAAATTCCATGAACTTTAGACCTATCTACGTCACGAAACGCATAAGTCATAACCACTACTTTACGATGTATCCTAAGTCTAACAACTTTATAACTTCTCATAATAGAATTTCAATGATAACATCACTCTAGAGAAAATATAAGAATCTTCTTTCATTAAGGATGATTATTATGCCATCAATTCACAATTATATATCACTTATTATACGATTGAATACAACCTCCAATTGGATGCATTCCTACTTAGAATATTTCTTTCCCTAATTTCAAGAAGACTTCAAATTTAAAATGTTAAGCACGTCGTTGACTTTCTCTTTCGTAATTCTCAAGGTTAGTGCACGCTCCTGTCTGTTTACTTGCACCCTCATCTTCATTATTAAATTATTCGGCCATTTGTTATTAATTAAAAATGCTAAAATAGTACATCGAAATGCGATAACCAGATGGGCAAGTAGTATACACAAATTGACATATTTGGGGGGCCAAAATACAGAAAGAATTTTGTATAATCTATCTGAATAGTGTAAGGTGAACAAAAACAAATAAACTTGTATCTAGCAGTGTAAACAATCAACAACTACGTCTCAATCTCAAACAAGTTGGGGTTCGGCACTAGCAGTATAATAGACTCTAAAATTATAATCCTCAATCTGCTATCATGTTTTAATATAGTCAAACCATTGCATCCTTGAAGGATCTTAAAGCTACTTCAAATCCCAAAGATGAAGCAATTTGAGTAGCATGGAAGAAACAGGGCACTGTCTTCTACTGCAAGGGGTTGCCTAAAAGGATTTAATTGGATCTGCACAGCAAGAAACAAGTTCAATACATATGAAATGACTTAGAAGTAATATACACCTTTAAGAACAAAATTTGGAAAAAAATTGGTGGACAGGCGGGGTGAAAAAAAACTAACAGGAACGATAGGAGAAGCGTCAGTCACTGAGCTTATGCAACTAATTGCTAGATTACAAGCTTCTTCACAGTAATCAGAGAAAAATGCAGGAACTTTGTTCTCCTTTATCAGCTCCTAGATGAAAAGTTAAAGGAAAAACAAAAAAGAAATATTTAGAAACACCAAACCTGGCTAGCTTTAAGCACTGTTGCAAAATCATAAAAGAAAAATCTGACATATTAATCTCATGTTCGATCCTTGTATACAAAACTAAGCACCAGATAGACAAAGCTGAAATGAAGTATTGAATTCCAATTACTTACAATGGTAGGTAACCAGCTTCTGTAAGCAGCGACACCAGCATTTGGCGCAATAATTAGATTAGGAGGAGAACCCTGACGAAGCATAGAACATTTGAGTAAAACCTAACCAAAGAAGGAAATGCATGAGCAAAGGAAAATGCTGTTTGAACGACCTTAATGAGATTTTTATAACAATCATGATAATAACCAGCATGAAGCTTTAATTTAATGGCTGAAGATCCACTTGACAATGATGTTGGGCCAAAACTCTCGGTCGAACAATTACATTGGCAGTTGGTCTCTGTACAATGAGCATAATCACGAAGTTCAATTCTCTCACCATTCCTAATCATTAAAAAGCAAAAGAGCGTGATCTATCAAAGGTACCTAGAGCAGTGTGACTATAAATAATCTGCAAAAGATAAACAAGATACCTATGAACTTTGGAAATAACAATAAAAGAAAGTTAGAAGTTAGTGTGAATGTGATGTATCATATAGTCTAACAGATAGAACACTATCAGGTTACCGAGGTTTCAAATGATGGATCATGTCTAGTAAATTGGCAAGGACCCCACTCTAACCACTTTTCTGTTAGCATCATCTGCAATCATTAGATGTGTAGCAGTCATTATTCACTGAAGATGATTGTGGCTTATAGAGCCCAACCAAGGGCGCTATATCAAATATCTAATGCCTCCCAAGTACATCTTTCTTTTGTAACCTATTTTTTAAAGTTTTTTTTACCTTCTTTATTACAGAAGCTATCAATTTACGACCCCCTTTTTCCGAATTTAAGAGTCTTTCAAGAATTAACAATGCAAGTTATTTCCTTTCAGCAGAATGAGAACCAAGTGTCTTTAGTTCGCTAAAGTTCCGTCCACTAAAAGATTATAAGTGCAGTACTAGTTGCTGGACTTCACAATGAGGTCAATGAGATTACTCTCGTTTCCTGCTGTAAGTCGTATAGCAATAACTTTGCGAATTTACTTTGCTAATAAATTAGAACTTGCAGTAAAAAAGAAGTAAACCAGAAACATGAAATAAAGGAGGGCAACCAAACCTATCTTCTGGAATTGCAGGTCCCACAAGATCTATATACATTCGAACACCAGGAAAAACTGCATACAGTTCACTGAAAGCAGCAAGCTGATGAAGCTCTTTTTCAGGACCTTCACATTTCAAACAAGAGAAAGAGCTCAAATTTAGTATGAAAATAATGAGCCCTTGAAAAACTAGCTCCAAAGGAGATGAAGAGTGAGCAGTGGTGTTAGCGCTAAATGTCATTTGTCAATTTTTACGGTCAGAGAGAGAGAGAGAGAGAGAGAGAGCCTTGTCTATAAAACCCCGTACCAAAGCTCAGAAGAAAAGAGAGTACCTAAATAATGTATGCGTAGCTCATTACTTATTTCAGGAATCAGGTTCCCTTGAACTGCCAGCTTAATGGCCCAATACAGTGTCAATGGCTGGAAAAAGCAAGAGAAGGATAGCACTACAAATGAGCCAGTGAGTTTCACAAATGATTTCTTCAAAGATTGACACTTTCAATAGCTTCACAAACAATTCATGCATCTTGGTCATATTGTCAAAGACCATATAAAAACAAAATATCCATATATGGAATGACTATATGGAAGAAACTACAAAATAAAACGGCAAAAGAAGTATATTGCCTAAATAATACGGCTACTACAAACCCATTCATTTAATATTTGTATACAGCCAACTTACCCAGTGAAGTAGTAGGGCAACAGGAGAATATAGCGGAATGCACCTCCATTCATAATATTCCTTCCAACCACTAAGTAGCTCTGGTAATACAGTGGATGGCTCTGCATGTGAATACTATTATAAATTAGCATCCATGACAAGCATTGCATTCATGTAATGGTCGCTTAAAGAAATACAAGTACCTCTACAAGGACACAATGTACCAGATAAGTTCCAGCCTTCAATGAGCCTAATAACAAAAATTAAGGATAAGATTCCAAGTGTGACCTAGGTTAGAAGTATTTCTTTATATCCGCATAGCAGCAGAGATCAAATAGAACCTTTTAATTCGAGAAAGACACGAATAATGCAAAGAATACATTCAAATATATAATACACAGAAAACTTTATCTATGACAAGTACAAAGCTTGATTATAGACAAATACTACTATATACAAGAGAACATAGGTAGTAGGTATACAAATATGGAATTACTTAAGTTCACATAAAGAGGATACATAATCATCCTCTTAGCACTCTAAGTATAAAGGTTGTAATTAGCTAGGCTCAATGGCAGAGCTAGAAGCCGACCTACGGGTTCGACCGAACCAGTAGCTTTAGACTAAACTCTGTATTTGTATTAAGAAATTCACCAAATATGCACAAAGATCGCTATCCTAGAGTTTAGAACCCATAAAGTTCAAATCTTGACTCCGTCTCTGGTTAGGCTTAGGCTGAAAGAAGATAGGATCAACAAGAGAACATTTTATCATGAAAATAAAAACCAACCTTGAGCAGTTCAATGTAGTAGGCGCCCCACAGCTACATTCAAACATCCACATTCCTACACGGTGAATTCCCAGTTTTATCAAGAATGAACACCTTGTCATGCGTTTATCACACACCTATAATTAAAGCACCACAAGTATTTACCTAAGCAAATTCTATGAACAAATAGTAAATATGTCAAAATCAAAATTTTATTCACAGGTTACCTGAGCAGTAGCTTCTTCAGAAAATGTAAAAGGGAAATCACTCACAACATGAGCTTGCTTCATTTGCTGTTCTAACCTTTGACACTCTTTCCTGTGTACATTCAAGTGTGCAACCTAAAAAGAAAATTAATAAAATTATCCCTTTGTTTCCAGAAAAGAATTATACTACTATTATTTGGAGAGTTAATTACTCAATTGGATATGAAACCTGGTGAGAGATGGAGCAATAAGCGACGGCTTGACAGCGATCGCAACGTCTTGTAGCCGGACTGGAACATGGGGTTCGGCTTCCGCTGCCGGCGCAGTCCATGGTTTCCGACCAAATGCGACTGATGGGTTGATCGGAAGTTGGAACGAAGCCCACGTATATCTAAATGACAAAAAGAAATAGGCCCAATGGACCTGGGTATGGGTTACAGAAATGTCACAATTAAGTCTCAACTGCCAACCTCTAGCTATTAATTATAGACTTATCAAAAATAGCCAAACATATATAAAAGTTGAAAACCTAAATAAATAAGGTTCTTTCTCTCAAAGAATTGCACGCAAAAATCTCCTTTAATATTTTAAATCATGATTAGCAACACTAGATGTAAGACAGAAAGGAAATTTCATGGATTAGGTAGCAAATAAAGTAATAAAATACAAAAATATATATATACAATATTTCAAAAATCTAATCAAAAGAAAACTTTTTTAATTGGTATAGTTGAAATTCATTGAAAACAAACATATAAGTCAATATACAAAATTTGAGGAAAATTGGAGGTGATTGGGACTGGTTTGGTATCAGAATTCATAATCAAATCGAGTTCAAAAAATCCTTCTGCGACACATGTATCAAAGATATATCACATATGTATCTCAGACACAGGTATACATGGATATATATGTGATATACAATTGATACAAATATGATACATATGTGATACACAAATGATGCATAGTGTGATACACATATCATTTTTTTTTTCATGTTCATTTTTTACTTCGAATTTTCAATTCAAACCAACACAAAACTCCATCAAATCACCCCAAAGATGAGATTCAAGCTTCTTAAGATGTACCAAATCTATACTAACAATATCCACTCAAAAGAAAGCAAAAATTTGATATTTTTTTTGCTACAAATAGCTAATTGGCTAATATTAGTAATATTTGGCTAATATTAGTAATATTTTATAAATTTGTCAATTTTTGTAATGAGCTACTTATAAATGGACATAGCTGGTAGTTTACCGGGTATCTATCCTCAATTAGCTCAAATAGGCCCAATAAGTACGAAGTGTTTGTCAAACACAATTGAAGAATTAACCCAAATAGATATCCACCCAACCGCTTAGACTAAAAATAGCCGATGGGGGTATAATGTATACATAATTTATGTATTATATGTGTATAATTATGTATAATAAATATATAATTTATGTATATGGCTAAAACAATAAACAATGAATATGACCGGCTATCTGTGTAAATATCCCTATTTTGACCATTTATACGGAGCGAATGAAACAAATAGCATACTTTTGTAGGGGGAAGTGCACGGTTAGCCACTAATAACACATGTATTTATTTTTAAGCCATTGTTTAAAATATTTTTAGTCTTTAGCCACTACTTTAATAAACTTTAACTGCCCGGACGAAAATACCCTTCTGTTCATGTCCTTAATTTCAAGACTTCAGGACTACATGTCCTTAACTTTTGAACTTCGAACTCTAAGTTCAGGACTTCAGGACTACATGTCCTTAACTTTTGAACTTGTAACTGTAAGTTCAGGACCAAGTGTCCTTAATTTTTGAGCTTGTTAGTCTAAGTTCAGGACTTATTGTCCTTAACTTTTGGGCTTCTTAGCCTAAGTTCAGGACATATTATCCTTAACTTTTAAGCCTGTTAGTCTAAGTTCAGGACTTCAGGACCTATTGTCCTTAATTTTTGAGCTTCTTAGCCTAAGTTCAGGACCTATTGTCCTTAACTTTTGAGCTTGTTAGTCTAAGTTCAGGACCAAGTGTCCTTAACTTTTGAATTTGTAATTCTAAGTTCAGGACCAAGTGTCCTTAACTTTTGAACTTGGAACTCGAAGTTCAGGATCAAATGTCCTAAACTTTTGAACTTCTAACTCTAAGTTTAGGACCAAGTACCTACCACAATCATGACTCTTTATGTCTTCTGTTACGCATTTTATGTAACCCGATAACACCTCGAATTGCACTGACTGTATTTGCCTCGCCAAAAACATCAAGATTACAATTATCAAAATCATTGTTAACAGCAAAAAGTAATATATCTGGCCACTTTCAGAACTCAATAAAAATGCTTCTAGAATCATTTAGGTGAAATTTAAAGAAAAAAGGATTGATATAAGCAGGAACTGAAATACATGAGTAGTTTCAACAAGAGAAGAAATATTGTTAAGAAAGAGCATCCAAGGTTTTTAACGATTTGAAGTTTGGACATTGACAAGTAGCAGATTTAGAATATCTTTTCAGATCAAATTAATTCCAGTATTTGCAGAAGACTGGATAGAGACTTTTATGTCAAACCCGGACTTGATAGAGGGTTTGAGAAGGAAAAAAAATAGAAGAAAGGGTAACATAGTCTTTTCATATTAATTTTAATAGATTAGTGGCTACTATTACTAAGCATTAAAAATGTTGAATAAAAAGTAAATATCACCTTAAATAGTGGCTACCCCACGCCATTTTTGTACCATTATTGATTTTTTAATTCCGACAATAGAAGATTTGTGAATATAGCCCAGTGGCAGAATTTTAAGGTACATCCTGAAGATCGTCAGAATTTCTAGGGAGAAATTCAAAAATAGCTAGATTTACAACTGGTCGTTCAAAAATAGCCCAGTTTCAAAAGTAATCGAAATTTAGTCACTTTTCATGGAAAGATAAATCTGAGCGAAAACACTGTTCAAAACCCGAAAAATACGCCAGTATATTATACTGGAGTTCCAGCATAAGTATGTTTGAACTCCAGCATATTATACTGGAGTTCCAGGATAAGTATGCTGGAACTCCAGCATAATATGATGGAGTTCCAGCATAAGTACACTAGAACTCCAGCATAATATACTGGAGTTCCAGCAAGTATAATTGTCCAGTATAATATACTGGAGTTTGGAACACCGATGCTCCAGTCTCCAGTATATTTTACTGGAGTCAGCAAAGTATACCGATCCAGCATAATATGCTGGAGTTCATACACAGGTGCACCGAACTCCAGTATATTATGCTGGACCGGTCTCTATTACAGCAAAATAGTGACTATTTTTCATTGACTTCGTAAATGCTGGCTATTTTTGAACGACCAGTCCGAAAACTAGCTATACGGTGCTATTTTGTCGAATTTCTAGTCAAATCCTGATGATCACTATGACACTCAAATCTTGGTGGATGGTGATTTTCTGGTGCTTCGTGGTCAAAATATAAATAATAATGGTTTTAAAAAAAATCCATCCAGCATAACTTTTCCTTCATATTTCGTGAACTATCGGTTTATTCCTTTTTGTATTAATTGTTTAGCAAATGATTTTTTTTTATTTCTTGTAATTAAAAGACCTTTTAAACTACGGTTTAAAGATATTTTTTAGCAAACTAAAAATCTTATGAGAAATATTAGACCATAATAAAAAAAAATGTAAGTTATTATAAATGTTAGACCATAATATCTTGTGAAAAACAGAAAATTATATGAGCAAATATATACCAAGTCTAAATTATCCGAATTCGGATAATTTCTAAGAGTTATCTTTGTACAATTTTTTTAAATTTGAACAAACTCTAAACAGTGACCTAAAAAGGGGACATTTGCCTCAAATTTCTTTACAAAAGATATATCTTAATCTTTTCCAGTTTACTTCAAGCTGATACGAGGAGACTCATTCAATTTAAGTATTTAACGCTATATTAGAGCACATACGCGGTCTAAGATTCAAATTTTATTATCATCCATTAAAAACATATTCAACCTATAAAACAATAAATCATCATATATCAGATATTATTTATATTTATATTTATATTATTATATTATATTATATTATAAGTGTGAAGATTTTTAATTGAAATTATTTTACTAAAATATCCTTCAGAAACTTAATGACAATATTACCCTCTTAATGTACCTTTCAAAATATCTCTTATTAAATGCTTTACTCCTTTATATTCCTCTCTAGGAAATGTATTAAAAATTACTCATAAATTAGAACTTTTATTAATTTACCTTCTACCTAAATGTATAATATTGCAATTTGTGTTTATATATATATATATATAGGCTCGAATTTGATCATACGTGTTGCAAATTAGATAAATAAATATGTTTGTTCTATATAAAAGCATAAAGTTTAAATGAATTGGTCACACAATTAAACAAAAAAAAAAAAATTATTACATGCTAAATTTTTTTCTCTTCTTGGAATATTATAAGGTGAGAGTGAACTTCTAATGTAATTGGAACGTTGCACCAAAATGATATAGGATAAAGTTGGAACTATATTGTAACTTAACTCTTCACCCAGCAAAGAGTTTTATACTAGGATGAGTGAGAATTTTTTCTTAATACAGATTGGGATGAATATTCGGAAACCGTGAAGCAAAAGATATAGCACCATTTTTCTCCTTCTGTTGAGGAAACGAAATGATTATTAAAGAGGAGTGCCATATCACATTGTATCTCAACTTTAGCCTTTAGGTATCCAATTGGGTTCTCCTCCTCTTTCTCGATAAATTTTGCCCGAAAAATATGTTTGGCTTTGGTAACGAGCAATTCAACTATGCAGTACACTCGAATTCTTATACCTTCTTGTGAACCTATCTTTAACAACTATAGTGGAGCTAAAATGTGATTTTTTTTTTTTATTTAGCTAGTACCTGCGTGGATGCGCAGGCATTAATCATGTCAAATATTTAAAGTTATTTGGATTGTATTTTAGTAATCTTAAAATTTACACTTTCTCAGTAAATATAGATAATCATTGGATATTAACTATATAAAAAAAATTAAACATTTTCTTTTTGATATCATTCTTGTCGGTGTCATTGGATCCTAAAAATAGTCAGGAAGCAAAATAATAACTCATATTTATGGCAAAACAATTAAATGTTGAGACAATGAATGACTCTTTGGATAAGACTTAACTCTTTTACTACTACTTGAACTCTTATTTGGTGTGTTGATATCTCTTAAAAAATATTTGTTTCTTAAAATTTCAGTTACTAAAACATTATTTTTCAATAATAATTTTTATAATAATGTAATTAAAAATATTATTCTTAATTCAAAACTCATTTTAGTTGGTTATCTAAAAATATAAAAAATTCTTTAGCTACTGAAGTTTTTTTTACTCCATTTTGATAGTTGACATT